GAAGGAAGGAAGGAAGGAAGGAAGGAAGGAAGGAAGGAAGGAAGGAAAGAAAGAAAGAGAGTGAGGGAGGGAAAGGGGAGGAAGGAAGGATAAAAGGAGGGAAAGAGGGAGAGAGAAAGAGAGAGAAGGAGGAAGGGAGAGAGGGAGGGGTGAAACAGAACAGAATAACAAAGTTGGAAGAGACCTTGGAGGTCTTGCTGTCCAATTTCCTGTTCAAGAGGGAGGGAGGGAGGAAGAAAAGAGAAAGGGGAAATGAGGGAGGAAGGGAGAAAGACAGGGAGGAAGGAAGGGTGGGAAGGAGGAGGAAGAGAGAGAGAAAAGCAGGGAGGGAGGAAGGAAGGAAAGAGAAAGGGGGAAATGTAGGAAGAAGGAAGAAAGGGGGAGGAAGGAAGGTGGGAAGGAGGAAGAGAGAGAGAGAGAAAAGGAGGGAAGGAGCAAGGGAGTAGAAAGAGAGGGAAGTAGGGCAGAGGAAAGAAAACGGAGGGAGGGAAAGAAAAAGGAAGGAGAAAGGGAGGAAAGGAAGAAGAAAGTGGGTGGAAGGGAGAGAGAGAGAAAGAGAGAGACAGACAGACAGAGAGGGAGGGAGGGAGGGAGGGAGAGGAGCGCTGAACCAATTCTTTCAAAGAGAAAAGGACACACACACACACACACACACACACGCACACGCACACGCACACACACACCCTTTGCAGACTCACCTTCACCAAGAAGTCCCCATCCTTCTCCTGGCTGACCATCACCATGGAGTCGTGAAGCTTCTCATCGAAATGAACATGGCTGGAACTTCCTTCCACCGTCTGGGCCGGGGAGAAGCGGACGCCCCCGACTTTGGGGTTGGAGCCTGCAGGGAAGCAGCGGAAGCAGGAGGAGGAAAGCTGGGTTAGCCGAGATGAGGCCTCCTCCCCCTTTTCGGGAGCTCTGCGAGCCCCACCAGGTGAATTCAGGCCTCCCAAGTTCCCCCTGAGGAGGTGGGTTGGCTTGGTGGAACCACCGAGTGGTAGAGGTGGGAAGGCTCCAAGAGGGCATCTAGTCCATCCTCCTCCCATGGGGGCCAGGAGACCAATCAAACCGTCCTTCAACTGCCTCGTTTTTACGACCTCTCTGGCTACAAATGGCGGTTTAAGCGGATCACTGCAGTCGTTCAGTGGGTAACCCGGTTGTTAAGTGAATCTGGCTTCTCCCATGGATGTTGCTTGTTGCAAGAGGGGAATCACGTGAAATACACCCCCCCCCCAAAAAGCCATGACAACCATCATAAAATTCTGGGAGTCGAAGCCCACAAGTCTTAAAAGTGGCCAAAGTTGGAGACCCCTCCAACTAGGCCCGCGATGGCGAACCTATGGCAAACTTACCTCACTGCGCATGTGCGTGCCTCCCAGCTGATTTTTGGCCCGTTTGAGGCCTTTTTCGGCCTCCCAGAGGCTTGAGGAAAGCCTCTGCAGCCCGAAAAATAGGCCTGTTTCATCACTTCCTGTATTTCCGGAAATACCAGAAGTGACGAAACAGGCCCATTTTTCGGCCTGCAAAGGCTGCAGAGGCTTTCCTCTGGGAACCCGAAAAAGGCTTCAAACAGGCCGAAAATCAGCTGGGAGGCACAGTGCAGGTAAGGGGGCAGGTGGGGGGAGACTGCGTGTGCATGTGCAGGGGCGTGGGGAGGGCGCGCATTGCCCTTTGGGTGCTGGCATGCAAGTGCGTGTACAATTTTTGGCACAGGAGCCCAAAAAGGTTAGCCACCAATGAACTAGGCCAAATGTCCACCGTCTTGGGAGCACCAGCCAGGAGCAATGGGAATTGGGGAGTCTTTATACAATCAGGTGACCTCATGGAGTCTGTCAACTCATAAAACATTTCTATGCCCTTTTATAGTTCCTAACAGAAAGGGGGAGGGGGAAAGGGGTTTGAAAGAGCAGTGCGGCAGCTTGGAAACTGAAGGTGCATTCCATAAATAGTTTTTCAAAGATAGTAACTAGGCGACTGACGTTTCTGCCAAGCCAATTTCTAATCGGAGAACATGATTGATGACTCTTGGCTATGGGCGTGTCCCGTTGGAGAATATGAACTATGATACATCCAGAGAGATGGGGGGAAACCAGGGTCAAGGGTGACAGTGAATTACGTGTCTCAGAATCGGGTACACCCAGGTCATGCCGACACGTTAATTCCCAATAAATCCTTTTTAAATTTTGGAAGTTTGGCTCGAGACTCATGATTTAAATGGGGGTAACTGCCGGAATCCTAACAGCGTCATCACACAACAGGGTAGGAAATCAACAGGGGTTGGTCTTGATGACCACTGAGGTCCCTTCTTCCAATTCCGTAATACCACTCAGCTTTTTCCTAACCCTCTAGAAAGGATAGAAGCTGACCAGCCCACATTCCAAAACCAACCTAAACCCATTTTTTTGTCTGTTTGTCAGCAATTTAGCCAGGTTCGTTTCTTGGCTGTTTTTCAGTTCCGTCCCCCCCCCCCCCCCCCCCCGGCTACAATCAATTGAGCAGGAGCGAGAAATAAATTGACCGATAAATTTCCCATATCGATTAAGCGTCGTCTGTTGCCACAGACACAATTCCCATCGCTCCAGCAGGCAGGAAGGCGTACGCTTGAAGGGCAGGACGTAACTCGCCAAGTTTTCGGATGCGAAGGACCACCCGCTATGCCCCTACCTGGAACTTTTCAAACGGGGGACTACAACCTCCATGGGTCCCAGCCACCAAGGCCAATGGCTGAGATGGGGCGTCTGCTTTGGAGGAAGGAGCTCTGCTGGCTTTTCCTGAACCTCCAAAGGGGAATCATTATGAGAGCTTGGTTGTTTTCTTGCAGACGTTTCACGACCCGACTAGGTAATGTTGTTAGTGCTACAAGGGAGTGGGGTTTAATAGGGAGGAGAAGGACTTTGGTGTCCTTGGTGCTCTTGAGCAGGTGTTTCGTTAGTTGACTAGCCCTGATGATGTTACCTAGTTGGGTCATGAAACATCTGCAAGGAAACCACCAAGCTCAAAGAGCACCGAGAACCCCTCAGGCTTCCTCCTCCTCTTCTCCTCCTCCTCCTCTTCTCCTCCTCCTCCTCTTCCTCCTCCTCTCCCACTCACTCCCTTCAAGCCCTGATGAGGTTCTCTAGTTGGGTCATGAAACGTCTGCAAGAAAACCACTAAGCTCAGCAC